GGAGGGTGAAGGTGACGGTGGTCCCCGTGGTAATCGGAGCACTAGGTGCGGTGACTCCCAAACTAGGCGAGTGGCTCCAGCAGATCCCAGGAACAACATCGGAGATCTCTGTCCAGAAGAGCGGGACCCTCAAGCTCCCAGGCCTCTGGTAGAGGACCCGAGCTATATATATATATATATATTTGTTTTTTTCATTGTTTTTTCATCCAATGTTAGCTGAGCTCGCCATATGAGTTATTTAGTGATATTTAATGTTAAGAAGTATTCTACTGACTTTACTTTGCAGTGTAGTGAAATTCAACTGTATTGCATTCAAAAATTGTAACTAGTTGTCTTTTGCATTGTGACTTTTTTTTATTAATACTGGGCTTCTTTTTTTTTTACACAATTTAAGAATCATTGTTGTAACCTTTTATGATGTATCTTTTAAAAATTATAGAACCTGATTCAATTTGATGGTAAGAACGACAAATAAAAAATTTTGGCTTTTATCTCATTGTTTTGAGACATTGACATTCAATCATTGCCTCATAGTTCAGTGCAAAACAATGTCTTGAAAGTGCGTCTGTGGACCATCATTCAAAAGAACCACATCCAGAAAAGTATTTATTGTATGAAGCTAAAGTTTCACGGCGGTAATGCAAAAAAAAAAGTTTGCTTATTTGAGATGAAGTGATCCAGCTGAGGAGATAAGATTTACAGCTCAAAAGATCTCCTGTGTCCTTTGCCCCACAGGAGGACACAGGACATCTTTTTTGGCTGTGAAATCTTTAACAAGGAATAGGCCTCAAGAGCTGTTCTGATAAAAACTGCAAAAATAAAGAAACGCCAAGAAATGATGACAATTTAATCCACCGTTTCTCCGAATGACCAAATCACGAGCCTGTCTGCTGAAAAGCCAGTGGGATGTCTGGAGGTGTTCCTGCAGCTCCTGAATAAAGACAGGGATATTGCAGCCATTGCAAAAATGTATACACAGCAAGCACACATTAAAAGTGTGAAAGGATTTATTTAAAGACAGCACTTGGTGCCAGTCTACTTGTGAGAACATAGAGGGCAGTAATGGACATCTGCAAATAATTTCCCATTATTCATCAAACTGTGTCAATTGTATCATCTGAATTTGACTTAAATAAGCATACATTAAAGCGTCATTATCACAAATGTATAAACAAAAATAAAAGGAAACATTACAGCATTAGATTGCCAAGTTACTGGTCTTTGCTTTAGAAAATGTGAAGCATTTAACAGATATTCTCACAACCACAAACCTGCACTCTCCTTCTGCTTTTAGTCCATTAGGAAACAGCAAATAGGAGCAATGGGGTTAAACATTCATCTGGAACGTGGTTATGTCTGTTAATCTCTACGAAAAGTGTGGAAATTACAAGTGAAGAGAGCAGAGTATGTTGTGTTTATGTTCAAATCCCTGAAAGAAAGAAAATAAATGTAATAATTTAAAGACACATCACATTCAGACCTGAAATGGCACACTGTGGTTAAATAAAGGTGGCTATCCTGACACGCCTACAATAAATGCTCCTATTCCATATAGACCCTTCTATCAACTGCCTGCATTTTTACTGTATTTCAGCTGTTTGCAAAGAGGAAGTAAAAACATTCATGGATGGTGTTGAAATTTCCACAGAACAACTTGTGAAGTGGCTGCACATTACAAACCACCCCCGGTCATGTGGGTTGATAAGACGTAGCCTTCCGGTAACAATAGCGGTGCCTTTTAGACTTATTCTGAGTTGAATTGACATGTCACTGTATTTAAATAGTAGAGACAGTTTTCAGTCCTGTTTCGTTTATCTCAGTGAGTGACATTCATTGTCTGTCATCTGTTTACAGTACTCCCATTGGAAATTAGAGATTCATGGTGATCCTGAGCAGACATTCACAACTAACTGCGAGGAATTAGCAAATGATCCCTGCGGCGCATAGATCAGTGCACTTTATCTAGCTCGCTACAGCAGCTCTTCCTGTCCTGGGTGTTGAACAGCAGTGCAACCTGTGCTGGGGCGAGGTTCTGTCTGCAGTTTTCCTCCAGGATCTCTGGTTCAGAGCAGTCGTTCCCCGCCGGGAGCTGAGTCTGCCTGAGGGCTTGAAGTGGACACGTCCCCACTTTGGGGCAGTGGGCGATAACAACTGACAGAGGCGGGTGAGACACTGTTGCCAGACCACCCTCTAAAGGGGAGATGTGAGCAGGACAGCGGCAGGAGTTCTCACAGGTACTGCTGCTGTGCTCTGTGAAAAGGTCAAAGCTGAGGCCATTTGCTTTGAGCCTGATGGAGTCCGTGATGCTGTTGTGAGTAGAGTTCCGCTTACTCCCGCTGCTCTCAAACACCTCCCGCTTCCCCAGGATG